GCAAAGGAAACCGTGAAGTGTGTGCTTTATGCAAAAATATAATAACGAAGCGCACATAGCCTTATGTGGACAGCAATGTGAATGCTGACTTAAAAAATGTGGAGGGAAGGAAAGTCTTGGGTGGACAGCAGTGTGAAAGCAGCCTTTAAAAATGTGAAGGCAAAAAACTTTCAGCACGGTGCACGCACCTGTTCTCGTAATTTTGACTGCTGAATCAGAAATGACATTGGTTTTTCTATATTGTACGCCCTTTCCCCCTCAAAAATTGAATCGAAATTTTCCTGATTACTATAATTTTTAAACGAAAATCCTGATGATTTCACGGGAAGATAACGGATCGAAGGAAATAACTAAGATCATATTTGAACTCAGTGCTAAACATTTCACAGAAGTCAACTTTTTAGTCTACTATAAAGTCCGCCGTGTTCCAGGGCCGGATTTACCTACTTAACTTGCCGCCCATGGGCCGCCTGTATTTTGCCGCCCTCTTTTCATTCGTTTTGAAATACCAATAAAAACCATCAAGTAAACGTGCCAGCGGGGGAGGGGTGCATAAGACTCGTTTACTCGTGTTGGACATATTTTTGGGAAAGCCCTGTTAACACTACTAGCAAAAGTTCACAGAACTTTGCGCGAAAGTTAAGTTCCGTAAACCTATCTCTGTGTGGACAAGGCCATCCATTAATAAGAAATGAACGAACAAATTATGAAAGAACAAACATAAATGTAGTTTAATGATTTTAACTTCCGCTTCCGCGCGCCGCGCAGACTGCACTGTGTTTGGCGCAATGCGTGAAGTATCTCGACAGTCTTGTAGGCGCTATGCGTTTCACGCCGACCGCTGCTGAACGCACTGTGTTTGACGCAATGCGTGAAGCATTCACGCAGTCTTGTAGGCGCTAAGCGTTTCACGCTGACCGCACTGTCTTTGGCGCAATGCGTGAAGTATTCATGCATTCTTGTAGGCGCTATCCGTTTCACGCTGACCGCAGTGACCGTACTGTGTTTGATGCAATGCGTAAAGTATTCGTGCAGTCTTGTAGGCGCTAATATGTGTTACATGCCGACCGTCGCGCCGAGGATTGCTTCTCCTTTTCATCTCAAGTCCTCGTCATCATTTCTCTCTAAGTCGCGCCGTTTCAGGCCAAATTGCGTGTTTAGTTTCTCTCTTAACTCGATTAATGAAAGGTGCTGCCTCTCGTATCATTAAAAGACGATAAAATTAGAAATTACTATACTCTCAGGAAATGAGAGATTTTGTCGCCTTTTCTCGTTTGTAATTATTTTTCAAAATTCGATTTTTTAAAAGAAAAATTGCAAAATTTGCCGCCCCCTTGATTTGCCGTCATGGGCCGCGGCCCATGTGACCATCCCCTTAATCCGACCCTGCCGTGTTCTAATTCTTTCCTTTTTTGTAGACCCATGTTATTTTTATGATCAGTGAATTTCGACTGCCTTCTATTCCTTAAATGGACATATTTATACCAAAAGGAACTATGTACGTTTTGCGTGCAACATAGTTCCTTTTAGCATAAATACGTCAAAATATACAACAAACTCAGCTAACATGGGCAATTATTAATGTTTAGGGTCTTAGCTAAAAGATCACAATGTTAGAACCCTTAAATCTAAAAAAAAAAAAAACACTTAATGAGACAATTCCTTTTTAGTGTAATTTATTCGCTATTTTTCCTGGTGTGGCTGAAAATTACAAAGGAAAAAATTAATATTCATAGCTTTTCTCAAATTAAAACATTTAATTGGGGGAAATTTGGTAACATTCGAATGCTCATACAACATTTTCTCAACAATATAGTCGAGTAATCCGACTTCTACTAACAGGGCGCAGAATGAGCCATACGAGTCAGATTTAAATCAAGGGTAATTCTCAATCCTATACCATTTGATTTATATCCATCCAAATCCACGACTCCAAAAACAACGCCCGCCGACAAACATCGGAGCATTCATTTGAATACCGTCGAAACTATCGATAGACATGACGCCCCAACAAAGAGCATTTAGAAAAGAGAAAGAGTTGAAACTTCGAGCTGTGTGCACAGTCAAAATATTCATATTCGGCTGACGCGATGTTAATCTGGGCCTCGGAGCCCCTCTTCCACTAACACCCTCTTGTTTACTCGTGCCCGTCTACTACCCTTAAATGCTCTAAGTCAACAGATTAGTCCGGCTTAATGCCATATAATATCTCAACGAATGAAACGCATTTTAAACTGATTTCAGGGCGTATCTCGCCGCAGGCGTCTGCGTACCCCCGAAAATGTTCAGACACATACTGCCGTGCTGAGGAAGAACACCGTATGAACCTTCAAGCGTTGCCTTTCCTTCGATAAAACGCGAATTTCCCGGTAAACTAATGGGTATTTTTCATCCAATTTTTCAGATAATTTTGTTCGCAATTTCACCCTATGTTCCTGAAAATTTCAGAGAAAAATATGTATAAATTTCCTTAAAAACAAACATTTTATTGAGGGAAATGTATTGAGAGTTGCCAAATTTAATAATTCTTGAGGATAGCAAGAATAATATGTTTTTTCAGACTCTATCAGCATTTGGAATAACTTCTCGATGTTAGAAAATACGGCAGAAATGCCGAGATTCGCGATTTCGGCTATAGAATTTGACACTTCAACACGAGATACGCATATTGGCAATTAGTGCTTTAAACCTGTTGACGGATTTGGATCATTTAAAGCCTGAAAAAAGAGTTTCGCGCTTTTCTTATCAGATAAGATTTAGTTTGATCTCATAAGGCCAGATCAAGCAATGTACGATTGGAAAATGACATTTGATCACGAGGTACGCATTTCTGCGATTATTAGCGTTTTGAACCTGCTCTTGATCGTTAAGTTAAAAAATAGAATTTATTCATAGTTAAAACTTGTTTAGAAGCTTTAGTTGATCTGACACCGTATGAGTCATCGATAAGTGAATCAGAGAATTGGCTTCTTTGAGTAACTTTTACACCAAAGGTAGGTAAGAAGACAGCGTGGAGTCTCTAGAATATATTGTCTCTGCATGGACCCTCAAAAATTATGTAGGTAATACTTTTTTTCTATTTTTCCTCCAACACTATGGCATATATACCGTTAGAAATAACCTACAGCCATCTATACGTATACATTACATGTAACAAGGTGTGTTTTTTTTTTTTCTCATTCGTATACATTTATATATGGTGCCCGTAGAAACGCGGAGGACATCCGTGCTCCATCCATCCACGCTTTACGCCTCTCAAATGGACCAATGGACACAGTACCTTTTCTTCAAATTTGATTATTCACAGTTCATCGACAAAAGCTCGTTTTATCCATGCAAAACTTATTGAATTCACATCCACTTTTGAGTAAGTTGCGATCTTGTAAACGGTGACTCTCAGTTTTGCATGAGAATATGATGACCAAAGCAAGATAATTTAAAAACCACAATTTGAACCAAGCGTTTGGGCTCTTTTCTTTAAATACGATTCACAGACAAAAGAAAATCTTATTATTTATAACCATATAATTTTCTTCGAGCATATTTCAAAATTATGGCTCGATTGGAGACCCAACAAATTTGAACATTTTTGGTCAGCATCGTTGCAAAGGACCAGTCACATAGGATACAACAGAGCGCCTTCAACCCACTCCGTAATCTTAATGCAAAATTCTGATACCACTATTCGTGCGTCAGTATAGTCATTTTGCATAGCCGGCTAATTGAAGGCAAATCATTGGCCCAGGCAACAGAATACAAACAGCAATTTGATACGTAATTTTCAAGAAGCAAAACCTTCGGGGCTGCCCCCCTTGGCATCTAAGGAGCCCAACCCCTCAGGGGCTGCCCTACCTTACATCCAAGCAACCCA